TGTGTGTTTTGTTTTGAAATTGATGACTTTGAACTTCAGATTCTCCTGCCTTCATCTCTAGGATGCTGGGATTACAGGAGTGTGCCATCATACCCAGTTTATAAGGCTCATCCATGCATGCTAGGCTAGCACTCTGCCAACTGAGTTTAATCTCCAGTCTGAAGGTTACGCAGAATGTGACTGCTTACATAAACGTTCCATGGATATTTTATTTATTTTATTATTTTATTATTTCATTTCATTTATTATTTTATATTTTATTTGGTCTTTTTGAGACAGGGTCTCTTCTGTAGCCCCAGCTGGCCTGGAACTTGCTCTGTAGACCAACCTGGCCTTGAACTCACAGAGATCGGCCTGCCTCTGCCTCATGAGTGCTGAGACAAAGGGTGTGGGGCACCATGCCCTGCTTCCATGCATAGTTAAAAAGAAGTAATAGGCTAGAGAGATAGCTCAGCAGATAAGAACACTGACTGTTCTTGCAGAAGACCTGGGTTTGAATCCCAACAGCCACATGGCAGCTAACAACTGTTCTTAACCCCAGTTCCAGGGGATGTAACTCCAGTTCCAGGGGATCAGACAGTCTTTTCTGTCCTCACAGGCATTGCACGACACGGGTGCACTTACCTAACATGCAGGTAATACATGCATACACATAAAATAAAAATAATAAAATTTTTTTAAGTTAAAAAAAAAAGGCTGTCTTGATAGAAGCTTGGCCACTACTAGGCAATTGGTTCAAAGGAGTCATTGATGGATTTGTAACTGAATACACTATTGGGGAGTAGTGGAAACTGGAGGAGTGGAGGAAGTGAATCACTAGGTGCATGCTTTGAAAGGTCTGTCTGCTTCCTGGCCCCTTTTCCTCCCACCTACTTCCCAGCTACCATGAAGTGAGCAGCTCTGCTCCACTGTACCCTCTGCCATGGTGTTCTGCCTCCACAATCCCATAGTCAGGGGGCCAACTGACTATGGACTAAAACCTCTAAAGCTGTAAGACAAAACGAATCTTTCCTTGTTTAAATAGTTTCTCTTGGGAATTTTGTCTAGTAATGAAAAACTAACACTCGTTCTCTTCAAATCTTAGACTCATTTCAGAAGAGATTTTCAATGTCCAACAGTTGCCAGTTTTGACATCTTCTAGCTCCATAAGAAATTAAGCCTGTCCTGATATTTTCTTTTTCCTCTGTCAGAGTGTCTCAAGGACTCCCAATGGTCCACCCAGGTCCCTGAATAGGGATTTGTCCCTTGGCTCCCCAAACTCACCCCAAACGGTCAGGTTTATTGCCCACTCTTCCTCCCTTTCGTTATACACTCTCAAGTAATAAACACCGCTGTCCCTTCTCCAGACTTCATAGATGTGAAGAGCACCGCTTTCCAGATCAAGCTTGACGCGGTTCTTAAATGTACTATTGAAGTACTTCGTTTTATTTTCATGTTCTAAGATCTTCTGTTTAGTAGTGTAAAGCCAGGTTAGACGTTTGTAGTTCCCAAGATGTTTCCTGGGGGGTAGCAGAGTTACATTGCTTCCGGTCATCACATTTTTCGTTTGTTTTGGATAACCTGCCAATGAAAGTTAGAGTGAGACCCTCCCTGCAATGCTGTCTAGTGGCCCAGCTTGAACTGGTGGGATAGGGAAGAAGAAAGGGCATTTTTTTCTTGGGTGCAGAAAGTACAGTCTCCATCTGAGGTTTTTGTCTCCTGATCGAGAATTCAGTGAAAATTGGAGCCTGAGAAACGGGCATAGGGGAGCAGGATGTATTGGTCATAATTTAATTCTGCCCTTGGACACAGCCCTAGTGCTTTCTCATTCACATTCTCTCTCCCTCTCTCTCCCTCTCCCTCCCTCTCTTTCTTCCTCTCTTCCTCTCTCTCCTTGTCCCTCTCTAGCATTTTCACATAAATTTATGTCGTCACCTTCTCTCTATGTGCTTCCTGTTTGTTCAGTTTCATTTGATAAGTGCTTTAGTCTCTAGAGGCATATACATAAACATTATGTGATTATACTCTAATAGATTTAATACAGTATCATGAGATAGACACAAAAGTAAATCAACCTGTGTTGAAATTGTAGCTTTGCTGGCAGAGTGTTTGCCTAGCATGCACAAAGTCCTTGTTCCATCCTAGCACGGTATAAGCCAACTGTAATGGTGCATGCCTGGGATTCTAGTACTCAGGAGGTGGAGGTCAAAGGATCAGAAGTTTGAGTTCATCCTTGGCTACATAGTAAGTTTTTGGTCAACCTGTGCTACATGAGATCCTGTCTCCCCCCCTAAAAAGTTAATATAATATCTTGTTACTATTATAAAGACAAACATGAGATGGTATGGGACTCTCCCACTCACCATTCAGGTATAGCAGAAATACCAGGAACACCTTGGAGCAGATGGCCACTACTGTGTCAGAAGATGTTTAAAAGCTAATACTTGTTGAGAATCATGTGCCAGGCCCTATTTAAGGCATTAGGAATACTTCAATGAGTTAAGCAGCAAAGGTCCTGGAGCTAACAGTAAGAAATAAATGCAGTAACTACATACATTATCTAGTATATTAGGCAATGATAATTACTATGACCAAAGAGAAAACTCAAAGTAGAGAAAATGGAGTCATGAGTCCTGGTAGAGCTTTAGAGCACATAGATGTCATATTAAAGGTGATGAATTGGTCACATCTGAGCAGACTTAAAGAAGGCAAGAGAAAGCCAGGTAGATACCTAGTATAACAGTAATCCAGGCAGAGGAAAACCCAAAGCAAATCCCTGTGGTGAGAGGGTGTCTGTCATATTTAACCAACACCAAAGAGACCTGAGTGGATGATGCTGAGTGAGGAAGAGAAGTGGGTCAAGAGACACAGGAGAGAGAGGGAAGGACTGAAAACAGTAAGATATTTTCATTTTATTAATAATGTTTTACTTTGATTTAAAAAATTCTAATTCATGCCTGTAATCTCAGCACAGGGGAGGCTGAGGCAGAAAGATCATGGTTTGAGGCCAGCCTGGGCTAGAGAGTCAGTTTCAGGATAGCCTGGTCTACCCTGTCTCAACATATATTAATAAAAGGACTAGAGAGATGGCTCAGTGGTTAAGAGCACTGGTTGCTCTTCTAGAGGAGCTGGGTTTGGTTCCCAGCACCTACATGGCAGGCAACAACCACCTGTTACTCCAGTTCCAGGGGATCCGGCTTTGCACAACATAGTGCAGTTACATACATGCAGGTAAAACATTCATATGCATAAAATAAAAACAAATCAATCTGGCCAGGTATGGTGGCATTCGCCTTTAATCCCAGCACTCTAGAGGCAGAGTCAGGTGGATCTCTGTGAGATCGAGGCCAGCCTGGTTTACATAGTGAGTTCCAGGCCAGCTGGGGCTACAGGAAGACCCAGTCTCAAAAAGACCAAAAAAAAAAAAATCAAAAAATTTTTAATTGGGGACTGAAGAGATGGCTCAGCTGTTAAGAGCATAGGCTCCTCTTGGAGAGGACCCAGATTTGATTCCCAGCACCATATGGTGGCACACAACTGTTTGTAACTCCAGTTCCAGGGGATCCAACACCCTCTCCTGACTACCACAGACACTGTGTGATACAGGTGCACTTACATACACTCATACACATAAGATTAAAATAATAAATAAAATATTTTAAAATTTTAATAAAGCAAATCATTCTAAAAATTCCCTGTAAAATGACTCACATGGTATATGCATTTATATTTTTCTTAAAAGTATATTATTAGAAAGTAAAAAAGTACAGATCACTTGCATAAAGCATTATCTGAGAAAGTTTGGCTTGAAGAGAGAATTTCTGTAAAGTCACTTATATGTTCCTGCAAGAGCTCTAACAGTGCCTTTATACTGAGAGGTTTTATTAAATAACAGATCTTAGACACAAATAATTAGACCACTGCCTCTTTCCAGTCCACATCCTTTTCATCATTTTTGCATTGGGTGGTGTCATATATACAGGTATTTTGGGATCTAGCTAAGAGGAACTAGAATTGGGGGATGTTAAGTTCTGTAGGATGTCTTTGTGTGGTTCATAGACTGTGTGGGAGACTGCCACTCACTTAGGCAAATAAATCACGCTCTTGGATATCCCCTCTGCCCACTGTGCCACCTCACCTTCCATGTTCCTGGCCATGTGGCAAAGGAACTGTTGATATCTGCCATTACCCAAAGCATCCTCCTCAACTACTAAAAGATAAAAATGCCTATGGCTTTCAAGATTCATCCACCCTTCATTTCAGGATTCATTAATCCTATAATCTATCTAGCTGTTCAACAAACATTTGTTGAGCACCTACTCTGTCCTAGAACCTAATTATAAACACTCAGGCACTTATTCCCAAGGAACTTCTGATTGGTTCAGTCCATATTTTATAATCCCTCTCACAGAATCAATTCAGTCAAACAACAAATACTGCACAGCCACATGTGTCTGACATACCTAGGCTTAGATATCAACAATGCATACAGACAACCAGATAACTTAGGAGAACATTCTCACTACGCTTTTTGTTTTAGATGTATTGAGATGCATCATTTAGCCTAGGCTGGCCTCCAAGTCACTATGCAGGCAAGAATGACCTTAAACTCTGGATCCCCTTGCCTTAGCCTCCCAAATGCTGGGATAATAGCCATGTACCACTATATCTAGCTCTTACCTGGCTTTTAACTGTTTAAATATATTTTCCATATTTATTCTCATTTTTGTTTTCCTTATGAATTAATAGAAATCATAATAATACATGGCCTAAGTCAGTGTTTTCCAATTTTTTCATTATTGACATTTTGTAGTTTAGGGCCAATATATATATTTTGGGGGGGGGGAGGTTCTGTCCTGTGTGTCTAAGGATCTTTGGCAGCAGCTGTGGCCTCTGCCCACAGGATGGCAGTAGCAATTCCTTATTTGAGACAGCCAAAAGTATAACTAGGTATTGGAACAAAAATTCCTCTACTTTCACCATGAAAAACCAGCCTAAGCCATCCTGGGCAGGTGCTCTGACAAGCCTTGAACTTATGCCCAGAGGATAGAACAGTTCACCAGCTGGTGATGGAGGCAAGTAAATGTGAGACTATTCCAACATGGGAGAGTGTTGAAATGTTCACTCACATGGGATGTTGTATCTTCATCCTCAACCACCTACGTGTAACAATTCTAAAAAGGCTGACTTAATCATTGGGTGTGGCTTCTTACAGAGAAATGAGGAAGTGGTAACTTTGTCTTTTAGAAGGTAGATGAAGCGACAGTAAAGGGAGCTACTGTTTGGGGTTAATTTAATAGGAAAAAGCGGTTAGTGATGCATCTAGGTGCTTAGGATAAAGTAACAGTGCTTGCCTGGAACTTATAATAGGGATAGAAATGATCTTGCCTGTGTCCACCTATGCTTCTTGTCTGTTAGAAAAACAGAATTAGACTGGCTTGGTGGCACATGTCTACATCCTAGCACTTGCAAGGTTGACTCAAGAGCATCGTGAATTCAAAGCCAGCCTGTGCTGTATAGTGAGACCCCGCAACCACCATTAAAACCAAAAGAAACAAACAAAGCCAAACACCCTCATAAAGGGGAAAATATATCAAAAGAGGGCATAATCTCATACCAAAGACATTGCTCAGGAAAGAGAAAAAGGCTCTAAAGAGGACCTTCGATTGCTATAAAAATAATCTTGTGTTTCTAATGAACCTCTTATAGAAGAAAAGATGAGTCTTAAATATACTGATATGGAGTTACCTGGAGCTCTCTAATGAGATGAAATATTTAACAAGTCCATATGAACCTTTTTAGGAACTAATTTGGCAATACATATTAAGACCCAAGATTTGGGTCTTGAGCAACACTAAACAGGATGATATTTTCTTAGATAAGAAACAAAATGAGTCTAGTGAGGAATACTGCAGTGGATTCTGCATGTAAAAAAGGAGAAACAGAAGCAAACCATCCTCTGAAGACATTATAGTTGTGGACAAGAAGGAGAGTAGGGCATTCCATGAAGGGACACAGAGGAAAAGAGAGCTTAGGTATAGTTTGTTTTATTTAGGGACTGAAATGGCTTAAACTATGATAAGTGAAGAAGCCAAGGGAGGGGAAAATTCACAGGGAGGGAATGGCTGTGGGCTTGTATGGGCTCAGTAAGAAGTTCAAGGCACAGGTCTTAGAGAAGAAGGCTGCAAACTAGTGCTCTGAGGAAAGCCAGGGAGGAAGACAGAAATGTAGAGAAGTTTGTTGGTTTGGAAACGGTGGACAGGAAGCTGAAGGGCTTCCGGCACAATAACCTCTAGGGCCTACTTCTTCAGCAAAGTAGATGACAAGTTCATTGCTGATAGGCAGAGGTAAGATACTTTGAAGATAAAGGCGAAAGTTTGTTAGAGTCACTGTGGGAAATGTTATAGACACTATAGCCACTCTGAGACAGCCCCCCCCAACCGCCCAGCATGGCTGAAACAATGACTTATAAATTACGCCTTTCCTCTTTCCTTCCTTCCTTCCTTCCCTCTATCTCTATACATTCAACTCTTCATACATACATACACACATCAACTTAATCATTTATTCACTCATCTAAT